CTACAATGTCAAACCAGGAGTCCAGGATTTTTGCTGGAAAATAAATTGTATTGAGTAAGGACCATGCCTGAAGTTTTTTGGGTAGGGATGTTACTGGGTTTGGTTTTTTTTTAATGTATTTTTAGGATTATAGGTAACCACAGTGCACCTGTAAGAAATATACTGCTCTATTCTCTCAACAATCTTGTATTCATGACTAAAGATGAGCTCCCTAACATGGGCTTCTCCTCGACGAACATCATGTAAGTGAAGAGTATAAGTTTTAATAGTCACTACTCCATGTATACCAGGTGACACTGAGGAAGACCAACAGTACTTCACAGAAACAAGGCTATATTAATTAACACGAACAATGCTAATGAAATTAATGGTATCAAGATGGACCACTGCTACTTTACCTTTCGTGTATTGCTTTGCAAATTGAGAATAACGTAACAGGGTTGGAACTACTGCACCAGAAAGGATGAACAGCCATCAGCTGGGTCCAGGTGGCACCTATGGAACATACTCTCAGCTATGAGAAGGCACATCAGTGTCCAAATTATACCTCCTTCCCTCAGAGCTGATATGTGTACTTAGAGTCATCTGAGACCTCTGGACTCTGAAATGGCCTTTTCCCCTTGTAAAACTGAAAGCATCTCTCTCCAAATACATCCTCGGCCTTCCAGAAGGAACCAGACACACTATCAGGCTGTACAACAGTCTAGTAACCATGGTCACATTTACAGTGTTCTGGTACCAGCATGTCCAGAAAACACTTGGCTCCCTTGGCCAATGTCTTGGTTATCTTTTTCACAAGTTGAGTTTCCAGTGCTTGACTCCGTACACAGCACAGCAGTTACATGTATTGGGGCTGCAGGGGGGAGATGTGTGGGACAGGGCTGTGACCTTCCCTGTGCCAGTCATGGCTGCTCCAGCCAGCTCTAAAACTGCTATAACCAAGCTATCGGGGGCCAAACTTCAGTCAGTTGGAGAAACCCGTAATGCCCCTACTAAAAGCCTATTTTTAAAACCATGGCAGCTGCTGGAGGCAGGAGAAATGTGGGGAGAAGGAGAAGAGACACATGGAAGGAGATGTTGTTGGGGAACCGGCCGGAGATGCACTCTCAGGAGACACGTCGTGCTGGGGTTGGAGGGGGACATCTCCAAAGGGACTCCAGCATGTGGGTGACCCACACTGGGGCAGCAGAAAACACGTAAGACACAAGGAGCAGTAGAAGAGAACAATTAAAAGACCAAGAGCAGCAGAAAGAAGCCACTGCCTGCAGGACCCTGACCTCCTGCACCGCCTGTCACCTCAAAGGGGCTGGGGTGAGCTCAGGGTAACCCACAGCAGAAAACAAGGGAAGCTTGTCCTGGGGGCAGAAAGGAGAGAGGTGTTTCCCCTAGGTGTTCATTAAAGTTTTATGTTTTGGGGTGCCCGTCCCCAATATCCAAATCAGCAATCAGAATGTTGTGTTATTTGGCAATAATTATGTAAAAAAAAAAAATCCCCAAATTGAGACTATTTTGCCAGCAACACCATATGGCTTAAATAAACCATGATGACCACCACTTCCTTACAGCCTCGCAACAGCAGTAATTGGTAAGGCCAAGTTTTCTACATTTTAGCCAATAATGAGATTTTAACTCTTGCTGGTTCATGCATGCCTCTCATACAATTTATAAACCACTCTACTGAAAACATGCCCATTACAGTTTAGTCAGTTCCACTGACAAAGCTCCTCATAAGTGCATTTTGTTTTGTACAATCTGGTCTTAAACATCCCAAGAGACAGACCCCTTTGGCACCCAACAGGGTTATTCTGTAGCTTAGTGTGTTTGCTGGAAACCTTCTCATACCCAGCTTCCCCCTTAAAGCTTCTCTTTATTCATTTCCAAAGAAGTCTCATTATTATAATGCTTTGGTACTTCTCACTGAACTTACTTTCTTGTTCCCTAAATTCGTTAGATATTAACTCAGCTTTTTTGGGTTTTTTTGTTTTGAATAGCTGTTTTAATAACCTGTCCAAACCAATTTCCTTTTAATAGCCAAAATCAACTAGAACTTGTATATTTATTTGCAGAATTGGAAAGAAAAAAAACAGTATTACAGGAAATAAATTAAATTGTGTTCTTAAGGCAGCAGCTATTAAAAATTTAAGACAGTGCTAGGTAAAGATGGTCACAACTATTGTAAACAATAAATACTACAACAACAATTAGAATCGACCAAAGATGCCCAACATCTATTTCAGATACAGGTCTTAAATGAAGGTTACCCTTAAGGTGAGAAATGTCCTATCAGTTTCCAATCACTAGCAATTTCCACACTGCTACATAAAAAGGCACCTTCCCTCCACTACTCAGCATGTTCTCAGAAGAAAATCTGAACAGTTTTACCCACTGCAGTGGTATGGCAGGACGACAACAGAAGCGTAAATGTCTTCAGGCTCCCCAAGTTTATTAATTCCCAGTTTGACACACAAATAAGGACACTGGCAGACAAGAAGAATCATAGATCTAGACTGAAACTACTCTCTAAAAGCCTCCTGTCTTCACTTTCTCCCATCTTCTTCTCAGTGGCAAGTTACACAGGCAGCTTCAGTGCTTCATCCCATCAAACTTATCTTTTCTGCTCTATCAACAATCAGCTGAACTTTGACGGCACATTCTCAGATCCAAGGAAAGCTGCACACAGGACATAGCCAAGGAGAAAGAGAAGTTTACAAACTACCGATAGTAATCCAGGCCTACTGTACCCGAGCAAACAAGCCCTAATTTTCCATCAGGTTTCCCACGTTCAGCAGCCTTCTGACACAAAAGGCATTTTTCAGCTACTTAGTATTTCAAGGTGCCGGTGTAAACAAGATTACAAATCATTCCAGATCCCAACTTGAGTACGATAAGTTTGATACTGTCCCCAGACTTTCCGTTTTCCATGTGCATTGGCCTGTGGGGTTAATGGACACTGTAAACACCTGATAGATGGGTCATGAGGAATTATGGGTCATATGGATGACAACCATTAAGGCAACCGTTTGAAGGCTTTTGGTACACTCTGCTTAGTTTCAAATTCTTCTAGGAATAGGGGTTCCTTTCTGAAATAGTAGATTGCACAGGCTCAGTAATGCAGTATACATGAACCCAGACCATAGTTAAAAATCTATAGTGCAATATAAATTGTCTTTTCAGGAAAAGACAGTTGATATGCTCATCCTAATTATATTTCTCCTATTAGGAGAGATTTTATTTCTCAGGAAAATAAAAACATCATTTTGCAATGAACTTGCTTTAAAGAATGATGAAGCAGCCTTGATGACACTCTCAGGTGAAATCCGCCTTATAATCAGACATTACTAGCGTGTAAGGAAGAAATATCACACAATTAGTGAAGAGAGAATATTTACATATGTTGTTAATTCATGCAGTCTTCATGTAACATAAATCTTTCATATTTCAACCCTTGAAGTTGACTGGGAAGTATGGCCTAATGACTGAGGTCCATCCACCCCACCACATCACAAGAATGACTGCAGTGGGATGTAAGGGTGCCCACAGTAGCTTTAAGTTACAGCTCCAGCAGCACCAAAACTGGCACATGGTGATTTGCCAAGCAGCACCTCCATAACTGCATCTCAAATATACTAGCACATTGGAGCCCTGAAATTCAAGGCTCCTGAAAACTGCCTGCAGCAGCAACTGTAGCAGACATGAGTAACAATCTTCCATGCCTAACATACAAAAAGGCAAATATCACCATACAAGTCACAGGAAAAGTTCAGGAGTTCATAAGGATACCAAAATCAAGAAGCCACCTGCAAATCCGAAAGTGTGTGATTCAATTCCTATTGAAGTCAATGGTGAACTTAACAGTGTCTTCAATTATTTTTGCACAAGAAATAACTCTGTCATCCGTTCTCCATTAATAATGCCCGCAACTGCAGCTACAATGCCAGACACATGGTGCTGGCAGCTGTACCAAAGACCTCTCTATGGAAAGTAGAGCTGTTTGGAGGTTATACACCAAATAACTCACCCTGATGAAGCAAAGGCAGTCTACAGGTAAGGATAGATGTTTTAACTGACAGCTTATGAAAACAATGACATTACCAAGTAGAAGAAGGGGGGGGGGGGGAATCCCCCCAGAACCAAAACATGCCCCACCTTCCCAATACTATAAAACCACATAGCTATTACTAAGTTTTCCACTCATCACTGATTTTGCTGGATTTTAACTGCACTTCATGTATTCAAACATAAATGCCAAACACCAAGAATAGCAGAGTGTCTTGACTGGCTATTATCAAAAGTAGCAAGTCAGCTTGTGTTCAGTTTCTGCAAGTTAGATAGTTCCATCTGCCAACCAGAAAGTCCTAGTACAATTTAATACTCTCATATTTTGTTTGCCAAAGAGACAGACATTATTTGTTACAAAGGAGATACCAATAGGATTCTGTCATTTTCTGACTCAACTTTATGATGCAACGTTAGGTCCCAAATCAGCAGAGACTTAATAAATTTAGTAACCTTACTGAAGTTAAATGAGATTTATCTTTGGAGGGCTGGGATACACAGCTATTCATATACAACTCTTATGTAACCTTAAATGTGTTAGAGCTTTTTTTAAAAGACCGACATTTTAATTAATTTTTTACAAATCCTTCCAAGAACTTCAAGTTTGTTTATATATAACACAATTACTTAAAAACAAAATTCATCTACAATTTAATTCAGCTTGAAATACCTTTTTTGTAGACTATCAATTTTCATTCCCAAATAAAATATTCAAAACTATTTCACTCCCTACACAGGATCAAGTTACAGAACTAAAAAAAAGTTCAGAATGGAATTGAAGAGCACAGTGAAAAATTACCCAAAACTTACAGAGCAAACAGCTTCCAGGAGATCTATTAGAAGGCATAATAACACTTTCACCAAATAAGCAATACCATAAAAAAGCATAAATGGTAATAGCACCAAACTCTTAATTTTATTTTCTTTTCAAGCTTGCTACTTACTGTAGAAACCCAAATCTATCTGTGACTTTATAAAGACGATAGTCAGCATCTTCCCATGGTTCAATCTGTGCACCCTCCCGTCCCTAAAGGGAAGGAAAGAAAAAGAGCCAAATTAATCTTAATGACACACTGAGCTAAGACACAGAAGACAGGATTCAGCCACTCAAAGCACAATCTTTAGGATATACTGGTAGCAGGCTGGAGGAAGGAGAGGAGAACACTGGCCCTAAACTGAAAGAAAAGGAGAGTAGCACACCTCTTGCAGCCCCTACAAACAGTATTTTCATCAAAGGAAATCTCTTTTGGTCACTGCCCTACACAGAATAAATTTCAACCACAGACTCATAATAGTCTCACACCTGGCATTAATCTCTGCAATAGTCCATCAAGGTCCCCACACAGTGCCTTCTACTGGTTTTATTTCCATAGGCCATCCTTGCTGAGCCATCACTTGACAACAGCACGTATTGCTGACAGCCTTAAGCTCACATCCATGCTGACTTCCAGCAGCACCCAACAGAATGCAGCACTGAGCTTTCCCTCAGTGAGGCACTCATTCAATATTCCTGTCTTGGACTCCAATTGCCAATTTTCGCAAGACTTGCAGAAATTTAAGTATATGTCAGCTCTGTATTTTTCTGGTATGGACTACACAGAGGTTACTGGGGGTGAAGAGAGGCTGCCACTCAGAACACAAACCACACACGTGTTTTTTCCTTATCACTCACTTAAGTGCACACTGTACAAACCACCACTGAATCTAGCATGTAAAATTTTTCATGAACTCTACAAACAAGTCTATTGCTCAGTACTCCAACGACACTTAAAAAGTCCATGAAGTGTTACAGGAATAAGTGAATACAGAGTAGGCATTCTAGGCACACTCTGTGCCAGGCTGCTACTTGAGAAGTGGTTCAAGAAAAAAAAAATGGTATGACTAGAGTATTTCTTCAATTCCTCACAGCAATCTGATAAACAATGCAGTTCACTCGTCTTTTAAGTTGATAATGATTTAAATGTTTCTACTACCATAACCAAAAATTAAATTAAAAAAAAGTAAAATAAAAGTCCTTCTGATCTCGTAGCTAAACTAATCATCCTGAAACACCCCAGTTTCATTACTTGTCATACATTACACTACTTTAAAGTGCCCCAAAGCAACTTGTCATGTACCTGAAAAATGAGTAGATTAAGTCATTATCCACAATATCCCCCGTGGAGGGAGAATTTAGTTCACCCAGAGGCCAGTGTATCATGAAAGCATCAGATTAGTACTACATAGAGTATTTTAAACAAAAGCTAGTGGGAACTATGATTAATTTTTTTAAACAGACATATTACTAAGATTAATTACAAAATGTCTCTAAAATTATTATCAAGTTCACTTACTCTGTCATACTTGGCAACTATCTCTGCTCGTTCTTGGGCAAGTTTGATAGCAGCATCCTGCTCGGCATCTGCACCTGTAGAGAATTACAATAACGCTGTTCAGATTCTCTCCCTTGTGAACAAAGAACTGCAGCCAAATACGTGGAAAATAAATTCCAACTTCAGAGAGACTATTTGGATGGAGAAATGCCAAAATAATTGTATCAAACCAAAATATGACCTTGGTGCATGTCTTGAATACTGTTCAGAGTAAAATACAATTATCAGATGGTATCCTCACTGCTGAGTTTAGCATGTTCTTGATTTTCTACCAAAGCGGATATTAAGTCAAAAAATAATACCCCACAACCCACTAACTGAAAGACCAAAGTAGTAAAAGCTACTTGGTGCTAATTCCAAAAACATTCACACAAAGAAAGCCAAAACACACAGTACTGGTTTAAAACAGAAGTGTGAACAATCTACCAAATTTGTATAGAGGGATTAGAATACTGAAGAATGCTCAAGAAATACCACATTACTCCATCGGAGAAATTGCCCAAGACTTATTTCTCAGAAAACAGGGAAGGGACCCTTAATACTATGAGAACTGCAACGTGGGCAACCCAGAGTTGGAGTAAGCATGAGGATATGACAACAGGAAGGTTGACAAGCAGGAAGAAACGGATGCGTGGGTAAGCATTGGACACCAGTGCACTGCAGATACAGCAGAATTTACTACACCGGTGGAGTTAAAGTTTAGATAAATCTGGTTTGATCTGTAACTGAACTGGGTTCTTTGGCATTGTCTCCTTAGCAGAAACAATCTCTAGAACATGGACAGGAATGTGAAGGGGGCACAGTGAAAGGAAAAGTAAAAAAGATGCTGTTTTCAATATTCAACAACATAATGCACTTCAACATCCCAAATAATGATTTCAAACGAACAAGGTAAATCGGTTCTACTCAATGGTAAGTTTGTGAAAGATTCAAGAGTTGATTTGGTTCAGTTACTAAAAAGCAATGAACTCTAGATGAAGCAAAGCTTTAAAAAGGTTTGAAACAAATTTCAAGCACACACTGATACAAAAAGAACTCTAAACATGTGGTTTTTCTTCACTATTTAGTTCATGGAAACATAATGAACATCAAGATTGTACATATCAACCATCTGAGCCATAAAACAGATCAGATATTACAGTTTTCTATCTTATGACATTATTAACACTTTTATATGTTCAAATCCAGTATTTCTTTAATAATATTTACTTACGTATTTCTCAGATATTAGTTGTGCCAAGGTGGCCTTCTAAGCCATCCGTTAGAGATTTAGCATGGTCTCTGCCTGTTTTCACTTGAAGTTTCTTTAGGGGAATGCAGAGAGAACCTCAGTATGCCCCATCATGGGCACAAGCACCAGCATTTGGGCAACAGTGACGCTTGTCTCAAACCCTCCCTAATGGAAAGTCTGACTGCTTCTCTAAAGCTTTTACTTATGATCTCCAGAAGTTACACTTTATTCTCCTCATTCAGTCCCCCTTCTGCTTGTCACCATCATTTCCAATCATACTACTCACATTTATTAGCGAGGACATCGAGATTTGTCATTTTTGCCTGTGTGCACCACAACCAGCACACATGTATTTACACAATTATTTGAGGGAGAAAGAAAATTAAGAATTACATCTGCTGTTGTTGGAAGCTATGCACCTCAGTGCCACAACACTGATAAATAATTTCCTCCCTGTAAGGCAAGAAGCAAGGAGGCTCATTTCACGTTGCTCAGCCTTTGGTGTTGTCCAAGGAGTGTGCTGTTCCTCCTGCTCCTTCAGGTGCTGGATCCACCTTTATTCCTAAGCCTGAAGAGGACTGCAAGACCCAAACCACTGTGGTTTCAGGTTTGTTTTTCTCTGACAGTTTTATAGCAACCGCAGGACTCTGTTACCCTGGCTACCTCTATGAATGCTGACCAAGACAATTCTTACACAGCAGCCGCAGCACCCTTCTAGAACCCCTCCCCAGCATTGTCACCACACAAGGGCACAGACTGAACTCTCTGCGACTCCGAGTGTATTCAAACACTATATATCCCCCAACACAATTATAACAATCCAGTTTTTATCCTTTACTAGTTGACGTATTGTGCCTTCTAAACTGACAACATCCGCTAGAGCTACCCAATCTACACTGACACAAAGTAGTACAAGAAGCTCAGCATTACTTTCAAAGTGAGAAGCCAAGGGAACCATAATAAAAAATAAATTGCATTTTCTTTTGTAAGACACAAGGAGATCTCTGCTTACAATAAGTCTTTATAGAAGGCCAATTATGGGTTTTTAAAAAGAACTTTACGGTTGCTTAGAAAGCTGACATTCCTTCAGAGAATTCAAGTACTGAGCAATCCTACTCTTCACTTCTCCAGTGGACAGATGTGGGGGAAAAGTCTACTTGTTTAATGTACAACTGCTGATGGGCTTCAAGAAATGGGGAAAAATTCCTATCACTATCTTCCCAGTAAAAGAGATGTTAGATTTGATTTGATAGTGTGTCTGAATAGTAAGCAGTCAACACTGTAATACATAGTAGTCGATACAATCAAGTAGTAAGTAGCTGATACATTTTTTTTATTAACAGCATTAAAAAATAGGTTACTACTTGTATTTAAAAATATACTCAAAAGGACATGTACAGCTCTTCAATAATATAAATGGAATAAATGGCAGAAGTTGAAACAAAGTTTAAACTTTAGCTTAAAAGAATGCAAAACTGTATTTGCACCAGAAGCCAAGTCCTGATTTAGGCTGAAAACAATTGCCATAGCTTACCTTCCTTTCCTCTGCATAAGCAACATATGAATCAATGTTTGGCATGTTCTGTGCCTCATGACAATTCAATTATATTAAGTGTGGAAATTATCACATTCATTGCCTTTAAAGTAATCCTCTTCACTTTCTGCCAGAATCATCTTAACCTTATAGTTGCACCGAGATAGTTTAATGTTGTGTCAATCCGTAACACTCAGGAAACAGCCTGAGACAGGCACAGGAGGTGATAATTTGGCAGATAAGCATAAAATAGGTTTTTTCTTACATGAGGAATTATTTAAATATCTCCAAATTAGAAATTACACAAAGATTCCTCATAAAGTAAAAGCTAAATATGGGAACAAGAAATGGTCTTCATGGCACATACCTTCTTAGGCACAGAAATACATTGCTACGTTACTAAGAAATTCAAGACAAATATCGGGTATTCTCAGGTCTTATCAGTTTTATTCAGTTAAGTCTTATCTCACTGAAAGCAGTTAAAAATGTGAAACAAGTGTGATTAAGTTTTCTAATTAAAAGTTAGTATTATAGATGATCAACACCACATTATACAGGAAACAATGGAATCTCATATAAAGCTGACATTAATATAGCATCAATTAACTAGTACAGAGAACTGATTTTGACTAAAAACTGAGGAAATATACTATCAGTGACCAAAAAAAAAAAAAAGTATAACCAATAGTGATAAAATCTGCCAATGATGGCATACTATAAAGCACATATAAGTCCCCCAAAAATTTAGTCAGGCTTGCAAGGTACAACGAGCACACTGAAAACCCTGCCAAGCAACAATGTCACACACCTGGCTTTTGAAAAAAGTTAAATCATGAAAAGAAAGGCCAGGAAGAAAGCTTTCTGAACAGTTGGCCTGACACACGTAACAGTCCCCCTTAAGAGAGTATTTTCCTCTCGTCCCTTTGTCATGCTGACCTGTTTTCTCTGTTTACAAATATTACAAATTTATACGTTTTGAAAAGCAGCATGCAAAGGAACGGAAGCATCATGACAATCAGAAAAATCGAACAGAAAAATCCCAATTTGCGATGACATGAAAAAGGACTAACATAACAGCCAGATCACTGTTTCTCTGCTGCACTTGGAAATCAGATTATCTTACTTGTCAGTGCTCCTGAGACAGCTAGTAAACAGAGGGATTCAAACTTTCAAAAGGATATTTAATGATGGGACTAGAACTGGTCTCATTTTGCAACTTCCTGATTTTAAAGCGCTAAAGAGTCAGGCCTGGTAAATTAGACACCTGTGGACTGCCATCAGTCCTACAAAGCAAGAGGAAAGCATTGCCTGGCATGAGTACAAGCTTTAATCCGTCGTCATGCTAACAAGACTCTCTCTTTACCTCACCAGTTACCAAAGAATGGAAAAAGACACAAATTCTTCAGGAACAGAAAGTGGTGATGGTTTGTAAGAAAGGTAAGTGGCACAGGCAAAAAATTAAACAAGTCCTATACAAGGACAAAATCCTCACTAATCTCTAGTACTTATTTTCTGAGCGAGGAAATAAGTGATCTGGGGATGCCAGCATTACTTAGTACAAACAAATTTACAGATGAATGCTGGATGTTACCCTGCTCTCCACTGTTAAGAGGCCTGTGTGTGCATTATAATCACATTTAAAATAAAACCCCACATGTTTAAAGCTGGAGGGGTTTTTAACCTTCAAAAACCCTCTACAGTTCAGTCACCTGAGATAAAAAATGAAAATTAAATTAAAATAAAATAAATTCATAAAACTGACAACAGGTTTCTTACACAAACGTAAAAACTAACTGGAAACTCCCCGTTCCTGCTAAGCAGCTGCAATTCTAAGAATCTTGCAGCTTACGAGGAATACTGGGGAGATCAGTTACTCTTACAGAATTCTAGATTCTTCCAATCCTAAGTAAGAAAGGCAAGCACAGTAAATCTACGCGAAGAGGAACTAAGAATTTTAATAGACATAATGCAAACAAAAAATCCATAATGTTCTGCTCTATAATGTATGCAAGAGTAAAGGGAATGGACCAACTGCCGTGACATATTTAATGGCAAAACAACAGATCCAAGTAAAAATAAACATTATTAAAGACAAAATAAGGATGTGCCCTACAAATCAACATAAAAATGAAAATCTGACTATTAGTAAAAACTTTTAAGGAAAAAATAAAATGGGCAATAACACCATTTTTTTAATTAATTAAAATTACCAAGCTAAATACTGGGGATCCTTCTTGCAGCCCCAGAAGTAACTCAGTTTTCCAAAATAA